AGTAGTAGTAGTAGTAGTAGTAGTAGTAGTAGTAGTAGTAGTAGTAGTAGTAGTAGTAGTAGTAGTAGTAGTAGTAGTAGTAGTAGTAGTAGTAGTAGTAGTAGTAGTAGTAGTAGTAGTAGTAGTAGTAGTAGTAGTAGTAGTAGTAGTAGTAGTAGTAGTAGTAGTAGTAGTAGTAGTAGTAGTAGTAGTAGTAGTAGTAGTAGTAGTAGTAGTAGTAGTAGTAGTAGTAGTAGTAGTAGTAGTAGTAGTAGTAGTAGTAGTAGTAGTAGTAGTAGTAGTAGTAGTAGTAGTAGTAGTAGTAGTAGTAGTAGTAGTAGTAGTAGTAGTAGTAGTAGTAGTAGTAGTAGTAGTAGTAGTAGTAGTAGTAGTAGTAGTAGTAGTAGTAGTAGTAGTAGTAGTAGTAGTAGTAGTAGTAGTAGTAGTAGTAGTAGTAGTAGTAGTAGTAGTAGTAGTAGTAGTAGTAGTAGTAGTAGTAGTAGTAGTAGTAGTAGTAGTAGTAGTAGTAGTAGTAGTAGTAGTAGTAGTAGTAGTAGTAGTAGTAGTAGTAGTAGTAGTAGTAGTAGTAGTAGTAGTAGTAGTAGTAGTAGTAGTAGTAGTAGTAGTAGTAGTAGTAGTAGTAGTAGTAGTAGTAGTAGTAGTAGTAGTAGTAGTAGTAGTAGTAGTAGTAGTAGTAGTAGTAGTAGTAGTAGTCAAAGAACTTTATTGAAAATCCATGATAATCCATGATAATGTGATCGGAAAGATGATGGAAGAAAAATCCGAATTCGAATCAAATCCAGGCAATTATTAGCAGTCACTACTATCAAAGCAGATCATTATTCACAATAGCGCAACTTAGAAAGCCGGCCAAAAAGGAAGATATTGAAATTAACCGAAGGCCTCCGCGCACTGCACATGGAGGGCCTTATAATTATATTCCCACTCACAACTGGAGCAAACGGCATTGGTCCAGGAATGAAATTGCTACACGCTTTCGGCAGTATGAAGCTCTGCACCCACGAAAGCAAGTAATCAGCCAGCGGAGCAAAATAAAAGAGATCCTGCAGCGCAAATGCGACATTACCATTGCATAACTAAGCTCCGGCTGCTTCTCGACAATGAGCTGAACAATGTTCTTTAGAGCACGGGAACATTCGGAAGCGCACATACCATTGGTCGCGAAAACCAAAGGTGTGAAGGTGCCTCGCTCAACATCAATCACACGTTGTAGATAGGCCCGTTTCTTCTGTGCTTCGTTACGAGACAACTGGGCAAGTACATCCGATCTCGACAGCAAGGACGCCGAGGGGTGGGTGACCCTCACATCAAAAAATGCATCTTGCTGTCGAGACCAGAAGCCCCTTGCACAAATGTCCAAACGAGCCTCAGGAGAACGATTGGCAGTGGCACAATCCAATGACTCACCAGTCAAAGGCAGCAACGTAGGCTCTATCCTTACATCTGAAATGACAGCCGAAAACACCTCCGCCAACAGGTCCCGAATCTCATTATGGCGTAGACTTGGGTAGCCCCCTGTTGGACATACCGCAGCGTGATCGAGCGTCATGGCCGCTCCACATACGCAGGATGATGGTAATTCATCCAGTGGCCAGCCGTAACGAATTGCCACTGCATCACGAAAGGCGGACTTGTTCAAGACGAATCCACAGGAGGCAAGCGGCTCCGCCGTAAGCCAACTTCCCACACCGGCATCTCTGGAGGTTTCCAGCAGAACACGCTGAGGGCCACTTAG